CCGGCAAGGGGTAGTGAGCCAGTGGAGGGGCCTGAAGACTCAGCCCCCATCATAGCTATGTGGACAACTGGCCCTCCCCCCAGAAGAATTTACTTTAGAACATGGCACTGAAGCTGCAGCTAGGGGAGAGGGGCATGTCTGATCAGAGCAAATGAGAGCAAATGAAGGGGAAGGAAGAGAGAGTGGAGCACATCCTGACCCGCCAGGCCTGCAGGACAATATCCCCACTCTGAACAGCCAATGCACAGAGTGGACAATATGGCTGATCCCACTATGAGACACGCCGTCCCTTGCTGGCCCAGGGCCCTAAGGGGGACATCACTGGAGACTCAGTGTCGTGACTGGCCCAGACTGACCCTGTGACATCGAGGCAAAGCAAAGGCATGCATGCGGCAGAGCAACTGTGGGAGCAGAGCAGGGAGCCCCTGAGGGAGTACAAAGGACAGACTCTTGGGCCAGAGTATGATACCCCATCGGACCTGAATAAAGGACACACCTAGAGATCAAACTTTGATCTATTCACAGATTGTTCTCTTTTTTTGTAGGGCAGTTCTCTTTATTGCTCTGGGCGAGGGCAACTCAGGAGCTCTTGGTGGCTCAAGTCCGCTTCCTCTTCACCATCACAGGCTCTGGCTGCATAGGATGGCGCTGGCTGTGTGGATGGCAGCCATTCGAAGGTCGGGAAGGTACTTGTTCTTGGGGATCATGTGCCGGATGCTGCTGAGCATGGCCCTGGCGTTCTTGTTAATGGTGGTCCGAACATAGGAGGTGGCTGGCTTCCCCTGGACTGACCTCCTTTTCAGGACGACCACAACCCCCTTGTGGCCAGCAGCGGGCTCAACGCCTACCATCTTGCAGTGTATCGGTCTGTTGTAGCGTAAGGAGGTGCGGGCTTTCAAGTTCTTGGGCTCGGTGCTGTACATCTGCTTGTTCCTCGCGATCAGGAAACTGGAGCAGTTCCTCACGACCATCCATTGCAGATTTGCGGACATGGCGGCAGCTCCTCTCCCT